GGGTCCCCCGGTGCGGGGGGGGGGGAGGGGTTATGTATGTTAAACTTTAAAGAAAACAATCTGCATTGAAATTAGCCACAAAATGCAAATGTGTTTTAGAGATCTGACGGATCATTTGGTGAAGAGGAAGCTGGGCGTGATTTTTACAATTCCCTTTGCAAAATGGAGTTGTGTGTTATCATGCCTCAGTGCATCCCCTGCTGCTTTACTTACCTGCATCACAGTGTCATCTAGTGCGCTCTGCGCGCCCCCCGTGTCATCTAGTGCGCTCTGCGCGCCCCCCGTGTCATCTACTGCGCTCTGCGGCCCCCGTGTCATCTAGTGTGCTCTGCGCGCCCCCCGTGTCATCTAGTGTGCTCTGCGCGCCCCCGGTTTCATCTAGTGCGCTCTGCGCGCCCCCCAGTGTCAACTAGTGTGCTCTGCGCCCCCCCTGGTGTCATCTAGTGCTCTCTGTGTGCCCCCGGTGTCATCTAGTGCGCTGTGCGCCGCGCCCACCGGTGTCATCTAGTGCGCTCTGCGGCCCCCGTGTCATCTAGTGTGCTCTGCGCGCCCCCGGTTTCATCTAGTGCGCTCTGCGCGCCCCCCAGTGTCAACTAGTGTGCTCTGCGCCCCCCCTGGTGTCATCTAGTGCGCTCTGCGTGCCCCCGGTGTCATCTAGTGCGCTGTGCGCCGCACCCACCGGTGTCATCTAGTGCGCTCTGCGCCGCGCCCCCACCAATGTCATCTAGTGAGCCTTGCGCTGCGCCCCCGGTGTCATCTAGTGAGCTCTGCGCCGCGCCCCCCGGTGTCATCTAGTGCGCTCTGCGCGCCACCCCCGGTGTCATCTAGTGCGCTCTGCGCGCCCCCCGATGTCATCTAGTGCGCTCTGCACGCCCCCCGGTGTCATCTAGTGCGCTCTGCACTAATGACCCCACCCGGTTTCATCTAGCGCCCCAGTGTCGCCAGTGCTCCTCATGTCATCTAGAGTGTGTCCCAGTGCACCAATCTTATTAAGCGACTCTTAGTGACCTCCGTTTGTGCCCCAGTGTCATCTAGTGCCGCCCCTATTCTTCCAAATGTCACCAGTGCTTCCATATCATCTAATGACTTCAGGTGACTTCCTGTGCCACCCCCATAGGAAGTAAGATGTCACCCGCACACCTGAGAATTGTCAAAATGTTTTTGTTTTATTGAGGTATATTGTCAGAAGAATGAGTTACGTACCTGGTAACTCTGTTTCTAGGAACCTTCCAGGACAGCAGGGATTCCCGCCCGATATGGTGGAGTTATTTACTATGCGTTGTTATGCAATGTAAGGTTATATATTATTATGGGTGTATATATGTGTATATGTATCTATAAGTCTATGAACGAGTGCAATATGGTATCCTCCGGTTCTTATGTTTTAACTGAAGCGTGCTAGGCTTGTGCTCCTTTTTATTTTAAGTGTGGGTGATGTGTTTCCTGTTCCGGTGGGAGGAGCCTATCTCTCTAATGCTGTCCTGGAAGGTTCCTAGAAACAGAGTTACCAGGTACGTAACTCCAATTTTTTTAACCACTTCAGGACCGCGGTACGCATACAGATATTATTATTATTATTATTACATAGTATTTATATACCGCCAACAGTTTGCGCAGAGCTTTACAATGTAAGGAAGACATTACAATACAATTCAAGACAGGATGGTAAGAAGGGCAGTGTCCCTGAGGGCTTACAATCTGAAAGAGGAGGGGGAAATGATACATGAGGATACAGATACGTTGTCATCCTGAAGTGGTCATACCAAGATCATGGCTGCTGCAGGTATCGGTTTATTCAGCAGGCGGAGATCGTTGTTCACAAGCGATCTGGGCGGCTATATCGCTTCCCAGATTACTTGTAGCAGCGTGCATGGGTGATGCTCTATGATCAGTGAGACAGGAAGTGTTGTATTCACAGCACTTCCTGCTCACAGCTGTCACCAAGCCGACTGACGTGCTGGTTACACAGGCGATCGGGCACAATGCTGCGCTCAATCCCCTGTTTCGGAGGGCAGGGGAGAAATCAGGAGTCTTAATAGACGGGTGATGACTCCATAAAGAGAATCTGTCGCCTCCAGACGCTATTTCTATCACTTGTTAGTCTCGGTGTGATAGCAATAAAGTTAAGTGCAAAATAAATTAAAAATGACAATGTATAAAATAAAAATTAAAACCAACCCCACAATTTGCATGCAGATGAAAACACAAGCGTAGAGCATGCACGTGTATGTCATTGATTGTGCCACACATGTTGGGTATTAGCGCGTGTATCGGAGTGAGAGCAATCATTCTAGGGCCATAATTCCCTGTTATTTCCAAACTGACGAGCAGTGAAGTCTTTTAAAAAAGTGTCGCCTATGCACAATTTTGATCCATTCACTTGTGTGCAAATTTCACCTTGAGCTACTGAGTTATGTAACCAGACTTTTTTCAAAGAGCCTAGAGAGCCAACAGGAGGCAGGAAAACATGAAAAGGAGAGCGCTGGCTGCTGGCTCAAATACAAAATATTCATCTGCAATCGTTTGTATTGACCAGACTAACATAATATATACCGTATTCTTCCATCTATAAGACGCCCCCAACTTTTCTTACCCAAAATTCCCAAATCAATATTTTAAATGGTATAATGCATCACACTTACCTCAATCACGTTATGCTCCGACATTACAGCTCCGGGCACTGGCTACACGCTCTCCCGAGCGCCGGCTGACGTCGGGTACCAAAGATTTATGATCGGATTACAGAGACAAGATAACCGTTTTCCTCCAATCATAAATCTTTTCTACCCAACGTCAGCTGTTGCTGGGGAGACAGCTGAACTCAGGTAAAAAAGATTTTTGATTGGAGGAAAACTTATCTTGTCTCTGCAATCCGAAGTTTCACTCGTGAGGCTACGGTAGTTTGCAGAGGTATCGGCAATTTCGCAACCGCGGTTCTCCTCTCGGCCCCCGTGTATAAGACGCCCCTCTATTTTTAGGTAAACATTTTAATGAAAAAGTAGCGTCTTATACACGGAAAAATACGGTATATGTTCTTTTATGATCTACAAAATACATTCCAAACCCCTATGTATTCTCTTTAAAAAAGGCCTGCAGTCTTAAAGGAACCAGTACTTGCATCACCTTCTTGAAAACAAACCTCCGAGTCCCTCCAGGAGCTCCATAAATGTTCTATCTGCACATCCTCATAATGGGAGAGCAGCCAGTAGCCACACATCTGTCCTCCATCTCACAATGCAGTGTCTGCTATCTGGGTCACCTATTGCATTGCAGGGGCTTTGCCAAGTGAAGGTTGGAGTGGGGTTTGTATAGCAATTGAAGGATCGCCTTTTAAACGTTAGCTTGAATTAATTAAAATTATTTGATTTAATTCTTGTGTAAGTTGAAGTGCGATTAGTTCTCTTTGGGGGTAACTTTGTATACTTTTGAAATGTTAAATGCTACTCTCAGCTCTCAAGTAGCACGTTTGCAGCAATTTGTATTCGGAAACTGCTGAATTGACCTCTTTTGCAATAAAGAATAATTCAAGACGATGTTTAACACCTTCAGCATTAAATGTCTTCTATGGAAAATAATTATGTAAAAAAGTTCTTTCTATCTAAATTCAGGACTGGGGACTGTACACGCATCCGGGGGAATTCTTTGAAGTGCTCCGATGGCTGGAGGGCAGGTAGGTGGTATCCTATTCTCTTATCAATGTGGAACTCCAGCCTATAGCTGGCCATATACTGCTCTATTTTATTTCCGTTACTCATGCGGGCTACGACTGCGTTCATAGAGGAATCCCCGCTGATTCTTTGGGATTTTAACAGTGGTTGCCGACCGGTGTCAGAATACCCGAACAGAGCCGGCAGCCAATGAGCCTGGGTATTCTGAGCCCAGCCGGGCTCATACAAAGATTTTCCAGCTAATCGAGGAATGCCGGCCGACAGAGTGCCGACAGTGGTACCTGCCGCATGAATTTCGGGCCGGTTCCTCAAGAACCGGCCCAAAATGTGCACGTTGCATGGCCAGCTTTAGGGCTCAGTCACACGGAACACACTGCCTCGCTTTGCGGCCGACTCACTTTTTAGTGGGATAGGAGAGGGCGTGGCTACGGCGCCATTCAATGCAATGTGATGCACGACACATTGTGCCTGCGGTCCGGCCCTGTGCGATGTGATCAAAATAGTGCTTTTAGCATTTTGATCGCACCGCACAGGTTCGGACCGCAGGCACAATGTGCCTTGCTATCCCGTGCAGCGGATCGCATTGCGGCCTGGATCTAGTGTGACTGAGCCCTAAAGCTTTTGTGCATTTTTTATTGCTGTGCTCTCTGCTTTG